TGATCATTGGGAAGGATTGCGAAAATCACCCCGCATCCATGTCGTCGGTTGTCATGGGTTGCAGCATGTGGTTATCCGTTTCGCAGCATCGTCATTGTTTTCACAACAAGGTCATCACAGTCATTGTCATCGAAGAAATGCTATCCTTAGATTCATTAGTTGCTTAATATTTAACATTGCCTGCAGATACAGAAAATCGTCATCGGCTGCACAACATGGTCGTTGGTGTCACACTGTCACCGGCTGCAAACCAGTTGGACAGTTGGCACATCGTCACTGGAAAACTCAATGGATGGCTTGGAGCACGAGATCACACCCGACATCCGCCTTTGTGGCCGGGGCCCAAGGCACCAGAAGTCGTTCGATCAAACCCCATTGTGGCTGGCCACAGCCCACAATTGCACGTCATGTTGGGTGGCTGTGTGTGTGTGCGTGTGTCAACCCTTGTTTCTAGGGGATTGCAATTTCACACTGTCTTCTCATTCTGCACAGTTAGTGAAATCAAACTTTAATGATTAACACTGTTGGCTCCTCCTCTCTGAGCTACTCCTGCTCTTTCTTCAAGTCTTGGAACAGCATACACCGGCCTCCGCCAGCCACAACACAGCGCTTACACAGGTGCCTCAAACGAATCACTTCATCAGCATACAGCACTCACTCGCCCTTCACCCCGGGCGCTATGTTGCCAAGATGGCTTCAGCCCTCGGCATTCACATGACTCATGCACTATTGGCTCCTCCTCTCAGAGCCGCCACTGCTCTCTCTTTCGTCTTGGGACAACATAGGCAGTCTTTCTACACTCGCAACAACAACAAAAAAAACAAAATAAATCCAACATGGTATTGCGCACGGGCGCGCCCAAATTTCAGCGCAGCCGGATACGCCGGTGAACGCCAAGTGGAAGGTTGACCTGGGGTGCGGGTTTGCATAGGGCCTACCACCACATCAGGCACCAGCTGGCAATGATAGTGCGGCGACTGGCATGCGATATCTCAAGCCGCACTTTCTCAGCTTCTTGCATCCGCAAGGCATTTGTTAAACATCTTTGGCAGTGACCGTCTTCTTTGTCAATTTGTTCTCTAGTGTCCGACAGTAAGTGGATACAAGAGTGCTTGCAGCTGCCCAGGTCCGTTTCAATTAACTCAGTCAGGAGCGCGGCTTTTGCAGTTCTGCTGTCGGCTACAAGTAGCACCTTTCCACTTACAAGTTCTCTGTGCGTCGGATCACGGCGCACACATTCTCCTCATTTTGCGCCGTTAATGAAATCATAATCAAACATTTAATGATTAACACAGCACGGGGTGGCAGTGGACCATCATCACTCACTGCCCAACGAAGACAGTGATGGTCCGGTCATGATATCCAGAAGGGACGCTTTCTGGACGTACCTGCAAATCGTTTAAATGCCGTTTCTGTTTCACCTATGTCAAACAATACTATTCCTGGACTTTTCGCCATACTGTTCCTTCAGCCAAGGTCCAATCTGCACTAAGGTCAAGCGTTGGTGCAATCTCTCTTGACTCAGTCTCGGAAGTTGTGCTCACTTGAGCATTATTCTACGTGTGTGTGAAACGTGCGGTGGTGCTTGCGGCACTTCTTAACCTCATACGATCAACTTCCGCTGCTATTTACAAGATACGATCAACTCCGGTGAACAGAACCTTAGTTAGAGTTGCTTACTCTTGAAGCGCCCACTAAGAAGGAATGCCCTGACACCGAGACCGGACCCACCCAGTGTGCGAACACCTTTGGGATCTTTGGGTAAGGTTGGCCCAGGTGGGTCAGATCGGCCGCTTCCAAAAAGAGAGTCTCATGGCAGGCAATGAATTGGTATAGTAATACAACGTGCAGATTGGCACCGGAGGGCTTGCCAGGGCATCCGATTTGTGGCTTGGTGGTATTTGGCTGCCTTGCATTTTGGCTTGTTTCGGATTTGGTTGGATTTGAGCTTGGTTGCAGTCAAAAACAACACTTCCTTCCAGCAGCATGATAACTGATACAGCTAGAAAAAGCACGAAAGGCAGAAAAACACACAAGCAAGAAAGCTGGAAAAGCATACTCATAAGCACAAGCAAGTGGATATGTGATATGTTTAAAAGAGAATTGCAAGCACAAAACACCAAAAAGTAAACCCCTCCATAAAAGGTAGGTTCATCTTTCACTCTACTTCGTCCTGGGTGACTGTGCCATCTACTCAGTGCAGCGGGGCCGACGCACGCTTGGCGGGTGGAGGGAGACAGTCATAGAGTCTGGTGCTGGACTCCAAACCACTGAAAGCTGTAATATCAAGAAAACAGAAAACAACAGCAGAGGTCAAAAGGAGAAACTACAACAACAAAATAAGAACAAACACACACGCAACCAACCAACCAACCAACCAACCAACCAACCAACCAACCAACCAACCAACCAACCTACCTACCTACCTACCTACCTACCTACCTACCAAAACCAACCTACCTACCAAAACCAACCAAAACCAACCAGCCAACCAAGCACAAACACAACCCCAACAAATTAGAATTCAGAAGAATCGGTGGACATAAACCTGGGAGTCGTCTTCACGTGGCGCGGGAGTTGGAGGTCGACCAACCGTGACCGACGTCGAAGCTCCGCTCCCGCGCCTTTAAAGCCAGTAGCCTTCTTGAGCTCCGGCATCCAACAACTCCTCCTTGGCCGTGGCCGTCCGTGGCCGGAATCCAGAGTCGGAAGGCAACTGCGCCGAAACTTGGGGGGGGGCTACAGTCGTTGTGGCTACAGTCGTGGCTACCAGGTGGAACAACGAATGGCTATGATGCAGGTCGGTCATCATGTTCGGTCGTCTGTGATAGAGGGTCCATTTTGGGAGATCCCGCGCTGGCCAAGGTCGCCGGCCTATGTTAGGGTGACCGTACACTGAACGTTGGACACTGCGAACGTTCGCGAACGGCAGAGCTGGAAACGAACAAGCAAACAAAGCGACTGACCCGACAAGCACGACAGCTGAAGTGAAGAGCCTGTACTTAGGCAAGGAGGAGCTGCATGTTTTCAACATGATCAGCTGAACCAACCATGACGGTGGAATGAGAATTCTGTCTTCCAAGAAGACCTTGGTGTATGACAAGGGCGGATGGCACATGCTTGGATTGGACGATTCCATTTTTTGAATTGGACCATTCAAAACGTCTCCCAAGGCCAGAGATGTTTAGACAATGATTAGGGCAATGACACGCACCGACGAGACGAGAGAACGGGCTTTCACGGCCTGGACGATGTTCCTTCAAAGCCCATCAGGTTCCGTGGTTCCATCAGGTTTCATCTGTGTCATTCTGTGTCTACCTAGCACTTCCAACGGGTGCCCTGTCTGGAGACCTGTAAGTAGGGTGGGGTAGTCTAGCCAGGTCACCCATTGGATGATCCTGGTAGGGGTGTCGTTCTCCTCTTCGATCGACTCCATCAACAAACCGCTGGATCGCTGTTCCACACGGAAATCCGAACACGACGGGCCGACGACGCTTGGGTCAGAACACAACCAACAACCCCACCATATTTGGAGATGTCGAAGGGAATCTTAGCAGTTCCCAAACAGATTCTGCCCTTGTTGTGGGTGACCGCTGGCTTTTGGCTTCCCCCATTGTCAACCCTGGAAAGGTTCGAGCAAAAAAGATCACAAGCAAGACACATCTCTAACCTTCTTGTCCCCAAAACCTGCAGCCAGCCATGAAACTGGATCTTCTTCAGCCATTTTCCATCACCAAAAAGGTCCCTTCTCCATCACTCAAAAGCTGCTGGTGTGGGGAAATGCCTGCATTCTGGTCGGTTTTTCTAGCTGAGATACTCTGGCATCGTCTGGCATCCCAAAACCCCCGGGCCAAGGAGCTGGAACCAGGAACCTCAGAGGTCGGGCTGGGGTGCTTTTGGGCACCGGCTGGGTCGACGATTTGGCCGCGATTTGGGGCTGGGAAACGGCAAACATGGTGAGTCATACCTATATACCCTAGGGCTCCTGGCCCATATCCTCAGAAGGTAGTTAGACCCCCCCAAACCCACCCTTAACCACCTTCTCAGGAGGTAGTGTGAGCCCTAGGACTAGATCCTTCAACTGTGCAAAGCGTTTTTCTTATTGATAAAACCAGCCAGAAGGCAGAATGTTGCACAGTTGGAAGGTCCAGGTGTGAGTCGGTATGAGTCATACCGTCATACCTCCAGAGATTGAACCTCCCTGGTGGACCACTGGTCAGCTAGGAGTCAGGAGGGCTGAAAACAAAAACTGCCTTTTAAGGGTTAGACAAAAGGTCCAACAGCAAAACGGTATGCTTTCATGGAAGGAATGCCATGGCAAAAAAGGAGTCGCTGGTATTGTGTTTTTGGAAAAGACCGAAAACACACAAAGAAAAGAACCCTCTTCGAGCAGAATTCACATTGTTCTTCAGACCAAATTCAGGCCACGTTCCTTCACGGGGCCACCTTGTTTCGAGACTACACTCCAACAAACATGGAAATGAACCAGCCCCCTATCCTCCCCCGCCTAGCGGGGTAGTCTAGGTCAAGGTAACCCCTATCAGGGGACTTCTGTGTGATTTTTAGAGGAAAATGGAGTAAGGTGGAGCCATCCAGGAGCCATCCACCTACTCATGCAGGACGTAGGTCAGCATGGAAAAAAGAACCGTCGGCGGCTGCTGCCCCGGGGCGGAGCTGGACGAGGGCCATTCTCACCCTGCGGACGGGGCGAAGAAACGACGTGGCAATGAGCCACGTGGCAGAAGTGGCAAAGTAAGATATCATAAGTGTACAGTGTAAGAGAAGATACGTGTCATATCTTATCTAAAAAGACTTCATTCCACTAGAAGAGATGCGGACCCAGAAAGACCCGTGAAATCCACCACCCCTGGCCTGATCCATCCAGATTCGAGTTCGAGTCACCTAAAGGTGAACAACATCCCAGAAACTACACCTGGCTAGCCACCCATGAAGCAAGCCAGGTTTACTGGTTTACATATTTATTACTTACTGGTTTAGCATACTTGGATCCGACCACCAGCTTCGCCACCTGGCTAGCCACCCATAAGCCATCCGTCACCCCTCAAAGTTCCAGATCATCTAGCGGCTTGGAAGAATGGCTGCACCCAGAGGCGTGGCAGAATCCCATGGACCGCATAAGAGTTCCTCACTTCGAACCGTGGCGGGTCAGCTCCATGGAACGACCAAACAGTTTACCAATAACACCAGCATAGACCCAGATAGCTTGGAACCCCACGACCTGTTGACATGCGACTGGCTGGAACAAGCAAGCTTCGCTCTCTGGGGAAAAACACGGAGCTTTCATGGGATGACATAGGCCATCAGGAATGGAATCCATCCGTCAGGAATCCACAGGAATCCTTTCCCACAACATGCTCTTAAGCAATTGTCAGAATTCGCTCGTCCCTTTTTATATGTTTGTGACTCTTTTGTGACCATCTGGAACTGAAAGCATGGCACATTTGGCGACGCTGATCTGTTCACCCGCTTTTTCCGGGTCTCGTGCTACGCACGCCGGAACCACCGCAAACGAAGCTGCTGCTTAGCGCAACACAAAAAGTGTCATGTAGCGCACTGGGATAAGCATTTCACCCCAAACCCAGTGACTGGGATGCCCCAACACTAGACATTCTGAGGTTCAGGGGTCAGTGGTCGACCCCCTTGGGCGCTCACCTCGCCTTCGTCGCGACGCGGGTCGGGTCGTAAACGTCAGGGACGTCGGCCGGCTGCTGGGTGAACCTGGAAGACGAGGCCGGGCCCTGGTTCCCGGGATGGAAAAGGAAGGAAAGCCATCGAAAGCCAGGTAGAGGTCTATAGTATGCTCTAGTCCTAGACGGATTGCATGTACTTGGTACTTTCAACTTGTGAACCACACGTCGAGATCCGTAGAGCACGGCGAGGACGGGGTCTCCCATCTGCACCACCTTCGGTTCCGGCAGCTAGAAGTCTCGACCAACATGGCCCCACCGACACACACACATACACACAGAGAGACGGATACAGAGAAGACGCGCCCGCACCGAGGTCAGGAAGCCATCTGAAATCTTGGAACCTCTTGGAACCCAGAAAAAGTCTCAACAAATGTGATGTTGAGCCAACTGGATGTCACTTGGGCGAGACCCTCCCAACTGATGGGCGAGTCTAAGCCAACTGATGGGCGAGACGGTCCAATGGATGCCGCACTAGGTGCCAGGGAGTGGGTGTTGTTCCGGACATGATCAAGAGTTTGGTGTCGTGCAGCCCAAGAAACCGCCCCCTTTCGGGGAGTCTTTCGTGTAGAGTTGTCAGATAGCCATCTGTGGGTTCCTTTTGGCCTGAGCTCTCTCCGATTCCACGTCCATGGACCCTGCCAGGTCTCCTCTGCTTTTGACTTCAAAGTCGCAGGTGGTGACTAGGAGCGATCGGACGCGAACGGGGCGAAACTGGCCTTACGAACGGAACCAGCTTCGCTACGGCACGAAGCTGCTGCGATCGGACGCGAACCGAGGGCCCAGGTCACCGTTCACTCGGTTGGGCACCCGGACGGCCTGGCCCAGGCCTGCAAGCGAGAAAAGAGCGGACGGGTGAGGTGCGGCAAAGATCATCTCTGCACTGCATTTTTTCGAGTTCCTTGGACATGGTCAAAACAATGGTTGCGAATGCTTTGACCGGATGTTTCCCAGTTCAGGGGCTTAGATCTGTCCGTCAAGATCGTTTCGCGTTTCTCGCAGAAAAAGGACGTTTCTTTGATCTTCATGAATAGATACCAACTGCAGTGGTGCGTCCCTGTGTCCGAGTCCCTGTGTGAATAATTACGTGAGAGCCAGGTCGACCTGGTTGTTCATCGATCGTGGCCCGAAGGAAGAGTCACTGCATGTGAACTCTCTTTGGTGAAAGAAGGGGGTCCACAACTGGGCCATCGGAGTTCAGATCCAGTTCGAGGCCATCTAACAGCACCAGTCCGCACACGGGCAAACCCCCAGAACGCCTCCCCGTTCCTCCAGCCAAACGCTGGCCTTGGCCCGGACCGAGTCTTCCGTTTGGAAGCACCGTTCTGAGCCTGAATCCCGAACAACCATGGTTTTACTTATAAGGAGTTTACACAAAAAGCAGATCAACCATTGGCGCCATGGATTTCCATGTCGACGTGGGGTTTTTCAGAGGTGTGTTGGGCGAAACTCTCGCATCGTTTCTGGGTGTTCCCTCAGTCCGGCAGTCCGCCACTGGAGCAACGTCAAGCTTGTGGATGTCTTCTTCCGCAGTCCACTTCGTTGGACCCATCAGACCCTTTTCGGTCTTTTTCGGCAGAAATGCGGTGCTGGCACACCAAGCGGGCACAGCAAATCGTGTCTGCAGGATGTTCACCATTCGTTGATACTTGAACCAAGCAAAGCACACATGATTTATCAACCCGCAACTAGCCCTGCCAGGTGATGATCACCTGCCATTTCTGGAAAGTGAACGCGTCCGACCCTCGCATTGCCCTTCGTTCCTCTTCCTTTCGCTTTGCCGGTACACTGGGGCCCTGAACGGCAGCGTACTCGCATCCGGTGCCACATTAGAGAGGTCTTGGCACTCCTCCGGTATGGCCTGAGCTGGCCACGCACCGGAACCGGTTCGTGGCTGGCCTGGGAACTGGTAACGAAAAGACATCACTAGCTGCTATGAAAGAACATGGCGGATGATTCATCACCTGACCATTCAAAGCAGCTGCTCTCAGTGGAAGCTGGCTGAGACCATACCTTTGCCTCGGCTGGATGAAACCAGGAAGTTCCACGTCAAGATGTTGCTGGCTTCCCCTTCTTCTACTAAACCCATGGCTGCCCATCACATCCCGAAAAAAAATAAAGAAGAAAGAACGGTTTTTCGGCGACGGGACCGTGGGCATGTGACATAGCAACTGACAGAACAGTCTGTCAAACAGATGCATGAACCGACCTCTGAGGGACATTCCGATGCAAAAAGAAACAGGAATGATGACTCTCCCATCCGCAATTGACAGCTCTCCCAGCTCTCCCTCTCTGTGGAGTGACCACTTTTTATGGTCTTTAGAGGACCTGAAAGGGAATTTCCTTTGCTAGATTTCACTGCAAGCAAAAATGTTGTCTTTGGGCTTCTAGAACATGTTGTTCTGTGTGTCTTCCATTGTCTTCCTGTCAGATCTCTCAACCTGCACATACTCTTCTCACCTGTTCTATATGAACACTTCGCAAATCCTCTAGTTCCTTCACGCCCCGTTCTCACCCGACCTCCGTACTGGGGGAGACTGGGAACCGAGAACGCACGAACCCCGCTCGCACGTTTTCGCGCGCGCCTCCGTCTGATCGACCTCCGGCTTTCGCGGGCGTGGTGCGGATCCGGCTCCGAAGTGCGACGACCCAAGGCAACCAAGCAAACCACGTCTATAGACCGAACGATGGCCGGTTCCGCAACTGGGATCAACAGGGCGATGTGTTTTTCCGGCTTGGTTGGAGGATCTCTCATATGGGCATTGATCATCACCCACAGCAGCCATGCTTATTTTTTGTAGACCAAGGCCAGGTAACATGTTGCTCTCGGAGATGCTTGAGAGACATGATACACCACAACTGAGAAGCCTTTTTGCTGGGATCAGATCGCAGTTGATCTGCTCTTTCTCTGTCCAGGCCCGTTCTTTTTGTAGCTGGTGCCCCAAAAAGAAGCTGCCGCATTTTCGTGGCACAGAGCAACTGGCCAACTTGGAGACATGGGGATGAGGATGGTCTCTATTGGTTCATCACCTGTCTTTCGGGGAACACCCCAGGATATGCTTTGGAAGAATCAAGTCCCCGCCACTCAAACCAGGCCACTTGCACAGGATGGAAGATAAGTGTCCCCACGCCCACAACCCCCAGAACGCAAGCATGTGGAAGGGAACCGTGGCTCCACAGTCCATAAAGCTCTCAACCAATAACCGTTCTTTCAACTCCAAGCCGAAAAAAGAAAAACTCCGGAAAGAGATCCTCGCCTTGCTCACTTTGTTGGAGGAACTCGACTTTTCCCTTCGGATCACCTGGGGCTCCACATAGTCGCCTCCAAAGCCTGACGCCGAACTGTCCAACATGTCACCTTCGGACGAAGAACCTTCGGGTTTCGGAGACGCTCCCTTGAGCTGGAGCTGTCTGGCAGCGCGCCCAGAGGCGGGAGAGGCTAGCTAGGATCGTCTGGGCACCCGGATCCACGACAGGAGACTCCCAGTCTCCTCCCATCAGTCTGACAATGGCTAGGCCCTATAGGCAGCACTCATATATGGCCCATGGCCCTTGGTCGACTTGATGGCCTCAAGGTTGGGGTTTGTTTTCGACGCAGACGAGCGGATTGGAAAGCGGCGGTATGTTGAAAAGTAATTGGTATGTGGACTTCAGAGAATCATGGAGAACCTTTGGTCGCATTGAGTCATACTACATCCAAATTGACTGACAGAAAACCCACGAACCCGAATGCACACACAACATCACACAACACAAACGGCCAACCGCTGCTCGACAACCTTGCTTCACGTTCTTCCACCGGCACTTATTGTTGGGGAGCTCTTGTAGAAGACTCTTGCCGGACACTGAAGACTCAAGCCGAAAGTTCTTCCAAAGTCACGATTCAAAACGAGCATGTCGCTCGAGACTTCCTCCAAAAGTGACCCGTCAAGTCTCCAAAGCATGTGTTTCGGCTTGGACCAAAAGTGACCTGTCAAGTCTCCAAAACGAGCATTTCGGACGAGACCTCCTCCAAAAGTCACGCGCCCTTGCGAACACATCCCGCAGCCAATCTCAATGGCACAGCAACATTCACTGCACCCAAAAGTCGCAACCTCACAAGTCCCTGCACCTGCCACCAGCACCTCTCACGGGCTCAAAGCACTGGGCCCGCAAAGAACAGTGACTACGCCACCCCTTGACATGTCGAGGAAAATGTGCACCCTGCCACACCATTGCTTCTTAGTTGCTTCATCCAGGTACCACAAAATCGCAATTTTACCTGGACCGTTCACGAAAGCACAACTTCGAGGCAAGCGCTTCAAGAGCAAAGCCTAATGGCACAGCGACATTCAAGACCTCTAAAAGACCACCATGAGAATGCCAATCTCAATTGCACAGCGACGCCAAGTGCAAACCTCAGAAAACGCTGCACCTGCCCCAGTGAAATCAACCTTTGGCAATAGAGATGATGCGTTTCTACGCTCTTTCACACGAATCTGACACGGCGTAGTTCCGTCCAACACCTCCAGGAATTCATCGCTTCGCACCGTTCGCACCGGGTCCCGCCACCCAACCTCCGACGTCGGGGCTTCTGTGTGCTGAGGGAAGGTGAAGGGAGCAGAATGCGAGACAACGATGAAACCCGCTCCGCCACTGAACTTCTAGACCAAAAATTTTTCATGTCCAGTTTGCACTTGCCTAGGTTATTGAATGCGCGATGCCTAGGCATGTGATTGATCACCGCAGCATTTGCGGCTGCAAAGCCCTGAAGAGTCCCAAGGGGGACGAAAGCTAGGCATTTAATACCTTGCTGCAGTCGTAGAAAAGCTGCGTTGGGCTTGAGCGACCTGTTCTAAAGTTGTGCCACTGAACTTCTAGAACATCCAAGAGAGGTTAAGTGACCTTATAGGGCCTTACTGGGGTACCTGTGGGATAGTCTAGAGGGTTCTTCAACCTCTGTTGGATGGAATTTGGTGGTCCAACTACACTCCCAAACTGTTTCCGAAGTCAAGGCGTGTCGAGCCCATGTGTCCACCGACACGCCGGCCGACAGGCTGTGCCCCCAATTGTCTGCCCAAAAAGACCCCTGTGCCATCGATCATCGGATTTTGGACGGGCCTCCAAAACGACCATCTACCCTCCAAATCCAACGGCCTCTTGAGAAGACTCTAGTTACTAGTTCTTTACAAACAGGGCAGGAGGGCTCCACTTCCACGTTTGTTTGAGAGAAGCTTACGTGGCGATTCCACCCTTTTTGGGCCTCGGACTGTGGCGTTGTGTGGTATGGTATTTTTTGCCTCTTGACCCGACCTCATGACCACTGAAAAGCATCTGTCCAGCAAGTCCAAAGGACAAGTTGAACTGGTGCATTTGACCTCAAAACCGCTTGTGAACCGGCCTTTTGACTCTGTTTTCACGGGCTTTTCGTTTTCCACGGTTTATTTTCAACCGTCCCCCTTTTGCAGCATCCATCAACACTCAAACTGGGGCAGCACCCATGAACCACAGGTGCGTTGACCCACCAACATCGCTGTGGGACAACGCATCAGTGCTGGCCATCCTTTGTTATACTAATTAGTAGCGATGCCCTTGTTCCTAGTAGCTTCTTGTTACTACAGGTGAAACGATTCCCAAGGAAGCTTCTAGCTACCAGCAGCTTCTTGTTCCTGTAAGGCCAGGAGCCCCCCGTTCGGTTCGCGTCCTTTTCCCCACCACATGGCGCCTGAAGCGCCACCTGGGCGCACGTCCAAGGGCAGCTGGTTCGGTTCCTTTCGCAGGTGGCGCCTGGGATCGGACCCGGGGTCCGGTGCCAGGTCCGATGTTCCCAGCACATCCTTCGGTGTGCCAGGTCCAAAAGGGACCAAAAAGCTGAACCTTCTGCCATCCCAAAAGGGTAAATAGATTGGTTGACCCCAGTTGGTTGAGGTCTTTTGTGAATGTAGGACATTTCTGCAAAAGCTGAGCACAAAAGCTTCTGGAAATTGCGATGAACGTACCTCCGGCACCAAACACACGATGAATCCATTGGTCTGGGTTCAGGGGTGCGAGTTCACGATCTGCCAGGCTCGACACACCCAGCTTAGGACCTTGAAGCAGCATCTCCAAACACTCCCCTAGGGATCTAAATACCTTCTCAGAAGGTGAGGAGGGAGACACTGTTATGTAGGTGTGGAGGGTCCAATTACCTTCTGAGAAGGTACTTGAATCCCTAGGGCTCCATGGGACTGGCATATATTTACATTGACCCCCTTTTCAATCACATGTTCGGACCCTGGGACTGGAGACGTCCCCAGTCCCAGATCCCGGAGGAACCCTCCCAGATGTGCGCGGTCGGGTCTGTCCGAGTCCACACCCTCCTTCCACACCCTCCTCCCACCGCCGGGGGTTTCTTCACCGAGTGGATCCCCAGGTGCTGTTGGTGCGCCACTCCCGTCGGTCCCGATGTGCTGAAAAAGCCCCGTTCCCACCGTGCCGACGCACATGCCTCTAAGCTCGCAAGAGGCTCGGTACTTCACCCAAACAATCCGGAAAGCTCAGCCGGACTTTCCCGCCACATCCCCCCAAAAGATGAAGTGCGAGACATCCCCTCGCACCTTTCGTGCGCCACTCTCTTCATCTCTTCGCCTCGGCGCCGCACACCGGTCAGAACGATGGGTGGGTCGACGTGGGTCAGTGGTGCATGGCTTTGAAGGAAGGGTGAGACCCGAACCCTACACCTGACGTTGATCCGGCGAAGTCGAATCTGATCCGGCAATTACCCAATCATCGAGACGTGGCTTGGACGAGTAAGGACGAGTAAGGACGAGTGGCATGGCTTAGCAAACTCATCTGTATCTTACCAGCTCTGACAGGTATTCATATAATGCATGAGGTTCGCCGATTGATACTATATATTAGTAAGTTTGAAACTCATGTAACAAATTTGGCCTTTTGCCGAGGAGGTGTTAGACATTGGAGTCACTTTTCACAGCTCTGGTAGACATGTGTACTGACGTGCGGGGGCCCTTCGAACACTGGGCTCCGGTTGATGTTCCTTGTTGGCAGTGCAGTTCCCCCCAATATTTACTACACACCCAAGAAGAGAGGAGGTCTACGGGGCATGTTGACATTCCCTGCTCGTTGGTGCTTGGCAACGTCCTACACATGGTGGCTCTCCAAAAATACAATCTCGAGCGCATCCCATTGAGACAGATATCCTGGAATTACTGGGCATCTCATTTTTGTCTAGTTGGATGCCCGTAGAAATCATACCCATGCTAACCTTGCTAACCGGTGTTGCGCAGGTGGCGCAACAGTCGGTGCCACCTGGGGCCACCTGGCTCCCATGGGCAAAGTTGCAGTTGGGACCTCGGTTCCGGCTCGTAGTGTCGCTTCTGGCGGCGAAAAATGATATACCTATATAGATACTTATCCTATTATATTAGTATAGAATCATATAGACGATCTTCCAACTGTGCCTACCTGTTCTTCTCTAAAACCAGCCAAAAGGCAGGCATTTTTTGCACAGTTAGAAGATCTGAGTATGAGGCCCGCTTTTGCCGCTCAACTCCCGCAAGGGAGTGTTTTCTCTGCACGGGTGACGACAAGTCGACATGGACAGATAGGTGGACCTGTCGGAACCATTCGGAACCTGGATTAGGCCGAACATGGGGAGGACTGCTGGGCCCTTGGAGATCACACATTTTGCCGCTCCATGCATGCCAGTCATCCGCGGGATCGAGGCACTACTTGGCAGAACATCGTGAGACTGAATCGACGTACGTACGGGGCGTCACAAAGGATGTTACAATGTCTGAGCTGATGGAAGACAGACGTGCCAATACATGATCATTGCCAAATCACCTTCAATATTATGGCCGTGTCTGGTGGTGCCTTTGTGGTTGATTCATCCCCTATGCTTCAAAGATTCGACACCTGACTCTGCGGATTGGCCAGTTCGGTGCATGTGCGGCCAGGTTCACATTGCATAGGCCAGTTTCTATGAGCTTGAAAAGGGTGCTCTGATCTTCACTTACAATAGGCCAGATGATGGGCACTGAACACTGCTTTGTGGAGATTGCTGGGGTCTATACCTAGAACTTCCAACTGTGCAACATGTTTGCCTTTTATATCTTACAAAAAAACACACAAAAGGATATCCAAAAGGTACACATGTTTTGCACCGTTAGAAGATCTATGTCTACAGGAATTAGATCTACATCTCCTGCAGATCGGCTTTCTTCAGGAATGCTCCGCACCGGAGGGAACTTCTGCGCCACACCTGCCTCCCTCCCGCATCGACGCATCGACTTGGTCTGCACACCTGCAGTGCAACTGCCCCGCCTGAGCTTCAGCAGACGCTGACGATTGTTCTTGAGGCTCGTTTCCCTACCCCAGTCAAGGGCTAAGTATTCACTTTTTTCTACTCCTACCTTTCTCTCTTGCCCTCTTAGCGCTGCTCTTTCTGTGTTTCTTTCTTTTGTTTCTATGGTTTTTTAGGTGCCTATTCAGGTCCTCCGCGCGAGCGCCGCAAAGCGGCACCGTGTGTGTGTCAACCTCTGTAACTAAGAGTTTTGAATGCAGGAGGCCAGCGGCCGAGAAGCAAACGCTGGCTAACAAAGCTATGCTTGTTCGGTGGATGCACAGTCTGATCAACTGTGTGTACCTGCGACCAACCTTTGCACAAGCTGTCACTCCACTTTCCTCGATTTGATTCATGGTTCTTACATGCTACCTTCCCCCAAACCCTGGGTTTCTGCAGCTGCACCGCGCCGCTCGTTTCGTCACCGCTGAGTTCTGCAGACGCGAGAAACAACTTTTGTTCAAACACCTACAATTTCGTGGACCTTTCCCCATGCAGTTCTCTCACCTTCCTTCCACCTGGCAATTGAGTTAACTGAAAACCAATGTCAGAGTGTGTGTGTGTGTGTGTCAACCCCTGTTTCCAAGGGCTCTACCCTATTGATCTTCTTCGATTTACTCTTTCCTTTTGCAGAGTTTACACCTTGTACAGCAGCAGGGGGACACAGCATTTCACTGGGACTGTGTCCCACGAAGCTACCAGTGAAATGGGATATCCAGCTTGGCCAGCTGGACGTACCTGCAAATTTTCCAATTGTTTGAATCACTTCACTTGCACTCTTGTTCAACAATACTGTTGCTCGGACCCTGCACTTTTTTCAGTCAAGGTCTAACTTGCAGTAACACTAAAGTGCTAATGCTCACCGCGAATAGCCTGAAGACAAGCTCCACGGAGCAACCTTCTCAAGTGTGTTTCGCAGCTTCTTCCCACTGTGGTAAGCTGTGTGAACCCTACGGGGCGCCGTTACCGAGAGAACCTTCTCACTCCTCATAGAAGGAGTAATTTCTCTGAGTTTTCTGAAGTTCCACCGACTGAAGTTACATGCTCGAAATCAGCTTGCCTGAATCGTTTCACCCTGTACACGTGAATCTTACTGCAGAGTTTACTGGAATTCTTACTGAAGCTTCCTGCAGAGTTCAACTGAATCATGTCTCACCCCGGAGGTGTTTCCATGTTCCAACTGTTTAACAAAGCGCCGATTCGGCTTCTCGGACAATGCCTACGGGCAACTGCTGTTCGTTCGTAAGAGCATCCACCCTACCCTGCACCCCCTGCACCTTTGCTAGTTTTTCCTTGCCTTTTCGTTTGTTTTGTTCCTTCCTTCAGGCTTTTTAGGTATGATCCAGGCTTGTTTAGTCAACGCACGCCCTGCCCCCCCCCACACCCCCTGCACCTTTCTCTTCTTTCCTTGCCTTTTCGTTTGTCTTGTTCTTTTCTTCAGGCTGGTTAGGTGGCAACCAGGCTCGTTTAGTCAATGCACGCCCGAACACCCCTTCACCCCCTTGGCGGAAAAAAGCAAAGAAAAGACAGAGAAAGAACAATAAAAAATGACGGAATCAGCAAAACGAAGCGGTCATGCACAGTTAGCGCTGCAGCATTGCAGCCTTTCTTGTTCAACAATACAGTTGATCTGACGGGCAGCGCCTCATCTGCGCACACAGATTTGGCTCATCTGCGCACACACATTTTGTTAGCACTTGCGCCTCATCTGCGCACACAGATTTGACTCATCTGCGCACACAGTCCATGGGGGAGACTCAAGTGCGCACACAGGCCCTTTCCCGGATGTTTGCTTAGTTAAAAGGGTCGTCAAGATGGAACAGCCACTTCCTCCTCTAAATTTTACCCTCGGGTGGCTCACCAAAGGGTGAGTCAACTTGGAATGACCACTTCCTTCTCTAAATTTTACCCCTGCCTGGCCCACAAAAGGGTGAGTCAAGCTGAAATGGCAACATCCTTGTCTAAATGTTACCCTCGGGTGGCTCACCAAAGGGTGAGTCAAGTTGAAATGGCAACATCCTTCTCTAAATTTTACCCCTGCCTACCCACAAAAGGGTGAGTCAAGTTGAAATGGCAACATCCTTCTCTAAATTTTAACCCTGCATGGCCCACAAAAGGGTGAGTCAAGTTGAAATGGCAACATCCTTCTCTAAATTTTACCCTCGGGTGGCTCACCAAAGGGTGGGTCAACTTGGAAGAGCAACATCCTTCTCTAAATTTTACCCCTGCCCACAAAAAGGTGAGTCAAGTTGAAATGGCCACATCCTTCTCTAAATTGTACCCCTGCCTTGCCCACAAAAGGGTGAGTCAAGTTGAAATGGCAACATCCTTCTGTAAATTTTACCCCTGCCTTGCCCACAAAAGGGTGAGTCAACTTGGCATGGCAACATCCTTCTCTAAATTTTACCCCTGCGTGGCCTACAAAAGGGTGAGGCAACTTGGAAGGGCAACATCCTTCTTTAAATTTTACCCTGCCCACAAAAGGGTGAGTCAAGTTGAAATTGCAACACCCTTCACTAAATTTATTTTCGGGTGGCTCACCAAAGGGTGAGTCAACTTGGAATGACCACTTCCTTCTCTAAATTTTTCCCCTGCCTTGCGCACAAAAGGGTGGGTCAAGTTGAAATGGCAACATCCTTCTCTAAATTTTACCCTCGGGTG